AAAAAAAGCTGGGAGTGTACCCAGGCACTTCAAACTCACAGTGTCCTCTCTGTGTGACTCTTACCTAGTGGAAGCTATGGGGAGAGTAAGTAGAGGAGGGATTAGAATAGCCTGTGATAATCAAGACAGTTCCTGTGGGACTGGTTTGGGGCATTTGAGATGCCCCTGCTCCTGTGAAGGACCATGGAGACGGGCATCCTAACTCCCCAGGGAACTTTCCCTTATTGAAAAACGTGAACCCTGGTCACAGGCTAGCCTCTGGTCCACATAATAACAAATAGCACTGTGAAGTCCTTTCTGAATTTTCTCCTTTCATCCTCACAGTAAGTTTAGGAGACCATAACCTCAGCTCAATTTCAGGTGGTAAAATTAAGGTCTAAAGAGCTAAATAACTTGTTTAAAATCATTGCTAGATGCAGGACAAGAATTTGAACCTTGGCCTACAGACTCCAAGCTCTGGGCTCTTGATACAAAGCTGTTCTTTCTCCCTATGGGAGAGCTAGCATTAAAGAATTCCTGCAATGAGACTTTAAATGATTCTTTTAGTTACTCTCAGACCCTCTGATCCAATGATGGAAAACTTACCCCAGGCCCCGAGACCTAGGACAGGAAAGAGGAGAAGCCACAGCAGCATCCTCACGTGATCCTGGTTCACTGACGAGGACATTGTGGACCTTGGCCCTGGGAGAGGCACAGACAGTTAACCTGACCCCCCATGTGCACTCCTCAAACAGGCACCCACCCACTGCATGGCCCCCTGTCTGCCTCCTGCCCAACTGTGGGCCTCCTGAGGGCCAGCTCCTGGCCAGACTTCTCAGGGTCCCCAGTACAGGTAAGCTGCTCGCCGGAGCGGTAACCACCCTCGTCCTGTTAGCCTGGGCAAGTCCATTTCATTGAGTGCCTTCTGTGGACAGGGCCTGTGCGGACACTCGCACTTGCAATATTACTAATCCTCACACTAACCCTGAGTGTAGCATTGCTGACCCCCATTCTCAGAGGGTAGGGCCATAGAATCCAGATGCACATGGGTGGGTCTAGTACTGAGACCTTCCCAGTTGGGGATGGGTTGGGAGGGGGGGACGTCCCCAGTTCTAAGGCCAAGGAAATCTGATCTTAACTCTCCATCTGGCTGAATCCAGTCCCTTCACTGGGAGAGGCCTTCCCAAGAAAAAACACTCACACACATACATTCAGAAATACCTGGGGATCCCGGGCAGGTCAGGGTGCAGGCGGCTCACCCCTCATTGGCTGGCAGCTCCCCCTTTCAGACTTGGCCTCTGCCCTTCACCCTCCCTGCACTAGAGGGCGCCCCTCCTGGGAATGGAGCCTCAGGCCCTGGCTCCCCAGAGGGGGAGAGCTGGGTCCCTAACAGAAGCTGGAGAAGAGAAGGGCAGAGGTCTGAGGCTGGAGCCTGCTCCCTCCACAGCACTGAGAGGAGCCTGGTGAAACCGGACGCGGGTTGAGAGCAGGGGCCCGCCCTGTGAATAAGCCCAGGTGCCTCCTCCCTGGGAAAGGGCAAGATTGCCCAAGCTCCCTGAGCTCCTTCCTCACCCCAGCCCTCAGGAAGCCCGGCCAACCTGGGGGTGCCCATGGGACCTGGGGGGGTCACATCCCACATCTGGGAACTTCCTGGCCTGGAGACAGATCTTCACTGGGCGTGTGAAGGCTGTGGGTAGAGGTTCCTTGCCAACACCCTGCCCCACAAAGGACTGGGGGTGGGGGACAGTGTCCAGGATAGCATCAAAGAAATAGAAAGGTGCATTCCAGGAGGCAGCAGCCATGCCCTGTTCTGACTCTGTAGCCTCCATGCCCATCATCCCCCCTTCTGCCACACCTCCATCCTCAGCAGCAACTGTCATCCACCCAGGGAGCCTCCCACAAACGGAGACTCTCCAGCCCCTCCCTCACCCCAGCTCTAGGCCGTATTATAGCCACCACCTAACTCACCCCACAGTGCACAGTCTGATCTCCTGGAGCCCTTGACTCTTCTCACAGCTCCACATGGCACTCCCCTGAGTGCAATAGGACATGAGTCTCCAGGGGGACCTGCGGGTGCTCTCACCTCGCAGGGGAAGGGACAGCCTCCGGAGACTGTGGACAGGACCCTTCTGAGGGAGTGCCCCCATCCAGAAAGGCCGCCCTTCTCAGAGCTGCAGTCTCACCCTCAGGCCCGGGGTTCCGGGAAAAGCCCTCTGGGAGGCGTCCTTTGAACCCACGCTGGTCTCCCCCACTGTTTTCCCCAGTGGGTCCACCCAGGCCCGGGCTGGGAAGACAGCCGAGAGCACCTGTGCAAGAGAGCAGGGGATACGTCCTGGGGAAAGGGTGCTTGTGGGGACAGGCTGGAGACAGAGAAGGAGATGAAGTAGAGCTAGCCTGGGGCCCAAGCTGCAGGGACCCTACAGTTTCACAAACATTGGTGACCTGAGGCTGTCCACGCTTCTGCTGTCTCCCAGTCCTCACTACCATCAAAACTCTTACAATGAGAAGGCTGTGGGCTCGCCCGCGCCCCGGGCATGGAATTAGGGAGTTAAGGAGACTGGTTCTCCTCTGCAGATGGGCTGGGGGACCAGGAAGCCCGAGGAGTGCTGGCTGCCTAAGAGAAGAGAAAGAGCAGGTAGAGCAGAGTTCGGTCGGAGACTAGCAAATTCTTGGGGGACTAACAGGCCTAGGGGCTCCCTGAGGCAAACACCTGTTCTGGGTGAGGGCATCGGGAGGGAGGAAGAGTGCTATGTGGTCTGTGCCCTTAGAATAAAATCCTCCCAGGCCTGCTAAGTTCTGAATGACCAGCGCTGATGCCCTCCCCAGCCCTTCTCACCTCTCTCAGCTGGGTGGCTCCCTCCCTCACCTGGGCCCGAGGCTCACTTCAGCCTGGCTTCTTCCAGAGGCCTGTGTGAATAGTGGCCATCAGTCCTGCCTAAACCCCCTCTTCTGTATCATGTAGGGTTAGGATGTCTTTATAAAACCTCCACGATGGAAACCCCCAAGTCTGTCTCGTTTCCGGTGCCTGACACAGCAGAGCATGCTTTTGAACAGTGTGGAAAGAAGAAAGGAGAAAGAAAAGCAAGTTTGAGGCCAAACTATTTCCAGAATAATATATCACTGCACTGATATTTACACTGATGATGCAAAAACAAGATGTAAAACTGCTAGTGCCTCAGCCAGAACCAAGAGGTGGCACCAAACTGCACTAGCAGTCAGTGTATTGATCACCCTGTATTCTTTCCAAGAGAAAAAGAGTTTCATTTGAGGATGTTTTTGATGAAGCAGTAAAATTATTCATCTTATTAGATATTTTCTTTTATTAAAGCCCTCGTGTGATTGCGTGGTGAGCGAAACTAGTCACTTTTCCCCTGGAACACCATTTTTACTTGAAAGAAAGAACAAATAGCACTTCAAGGAAAACAACCAATGGGGTTTGTTTGAATAATAAATTTGGAACATTCCAGCAAAAGTTAGAATTTTGGAATATTGCACCTGCCACCATGAGTTCAACAGTTTCCCAATACTCAAAGATTTTTCTGATGAGATAAATGGTGATATTAATCAGTGTTATTTTATATATCTATTAGAGAGTGAAATGTGTCAGCATTTGGAAGATGAGACTAACTCAGCGAATCATTATTTCCCAAATGGCCATACATGAAGTTACAAAGTCATGCCTGGATAAAAGACCCATTCAAATTTTGTGATAGACCAACGGATTCTAATTTGACAGAGTACAAAGGATTCATTGATATGGTTTCAGATTCCACACTGCAACTAAGCTGCGAGAAACCTCCACTTGTTGAGTTTTGGTGAATTACTAAAAAATAATATCCACGATGATATTTAAAGACTATTAAAGACTCTTCTCACTAGCTTTTTAAAAAACTATAACTATTTTGTATTTAAAAAATTAAAAATGTTACTATGCAATGGGTTTACTAATACTATGTTAGGTGAATTAATAAGTATTTTAAAATTTTTACATTTATAATATTGTAAATATTAATCAATGTAACCTACATGGAACAAAAGCTCTTTGAGATACTCAGTAATTATTCAAGTGCAAAAGAGTCTTGAGAACAGAAAGGTTGGGAACCCAGGCCAAGGATTGCCACAGGCTGTCCTGATGCGTGGAGGCCACAAGGGTGCAGCACACACTCTGATCATCGTAGAGCAGCCTTTCGCCCACAAGAAGCTCCCCTGTCCCCATCACACCCCCACTTCCTTCTCTGCTCTCCCATGCTGCACCACTTCCTAATTATAGGAAGTGACAATCTGCTAAGCATAGGTTCCATCGTAACCCAGTAGTATCATGTCAATCTGCAGACCTTTATCAGTTGTCTCTCATATGCAAAGTTTATCCAGGCTGAGTAAATACGAGAAACCCACTCTCAAGGAGTTAATCTGAGACTGACCCAAAGGCCAGTAATTAAGATGCCAACATGGTAATGTATGTGAGAGCCCTTCGTTGTCTATAAAGGGCTGTATATTTCAAAGGGATTCCTGAGAGGCAGAAGAAGCCAGCAGCAGGTACTGAGATACTCACCAGAAATTTCTGGAAGGATCTAAAACCTCAGGGACATAATGAAGACAAAAACTAGGTTCTGCAAGAGACAGGGGAGGAGAAGGATTGGAAAAACAGAAGCCAGGAAAGAGAAAAAGAAACACCAGATGTTTTTTATTTGTTTTCCAGAAATCACAAAGGTTATGAGAAGACAGCCGAGGTAGAGTGAGGGGGAGGCATTCAAACTTGGGAATGCTTCAGGTGAAGGATCCAAGAAGCCAGCCTGCTGGAGGGGCCTCGCTGTGGATGCCGAAGCAGGGAATGGGGCTGCTGTGAGCAGGGCACCTCAGGACCTTAGGCCGGTCGGCAATGCCCACGAGGATGCAAGGGGTCAGCCAAGGCTTGGTGTGGACTGAGCCCAAAGATGCAGGACAGTGGTCTGAGGTTACCGTGAATAACTCCTCTGAGCCATTCTAATGTACCAGAGACACAGAATGAGCAGTAGGGGCATGGGGCATGTCAGCAGGCCTGTGGTCAGGAGTCCAAATCCAGAAATCTTCATTGAAGAACATGTGGGAGTCCTGAGCTGGGATGGAGGCAAGGAGGGCAGCAAGGAGGGAAGGAGGGGTTGCAGGAAGAGTCAGCAGGCTGTGTGCAGCCTGGAAGGGGCTGGCCCTGCTCCAGCTGTTCTGTGGGGAGAGGAAACCTGACTTCACCAGCTGAGGGAGCAGTAAGTAAACCAGGAGATTCGCTGTATTTGTGGAGCCCACCAAGATTCCATCGAAACTGCTGTCTGCGCTAGGTAGTACCTAAAGGCCAGCTAATCCCATCTCTTCACTTAAGGGATAAGAAAATGGAGACCCCACCCGGCCTGTGTGGGGCAGTGGTTGTAGAGCCATGCACCAAGAGGTCACTGGTTCAATTCCAGCTCAGGGCACATGCCTGGGTTGTGGGCTCGATCCCCAGCAGGGGGCATGCAGGAGGCAGCCGATCTATGTTTATGTTTCTCTCTCTCATCAATGCTGCTATATGTCTCTCCCCCTCACCTTCCTCTCTCTCTAAAAATCAATAAAAACTTACTTTTTAAAAAAAGAAGAAGAAAGAAAATGGAGGCCCAGGTGTGGAAATAACTTCAGAAGCCCACCCAGCAAGTCTGGCAAAGCTAGGACTAGGACCCAGCTCTCAGCCTCTCAGCCCACTGCAAGCTTTCAACCACTGTCCTTCTCATAGGCTAGAGGAGGCAGAGCCTGGGGAAGGCCCCACGGTGTGCTCAGCATTGTACCCCATTATAACACCTGGTATAATATGGACAACTTAGAAGGGGCAAAATCCCCTGAAGGACATCAGCTGGGACATGGGGAGAGGAAGGGCACAATGACTGGGCTGGAGCTGCAGCAGCTCTGCCAGCTCACTTGTGCTCTGATTCGTTTTTAACACAGCCAATGGAGCCATACCCTTTCCTCCCAATGGCAGCCTCTAGAGTCGCTGTCCAGAACCAGGAATATTGCTCCAATTTATGCCCTAGCAGGAGGCTCTGAGTTTCCCCAAGGAGAAAACCCCACTTCCTACCCCCCCTTATTCCATCCAACCTCTAGCCTGCTGGGCAGTGAGAAGGCTAGGTGGGGTGGGGCACCTGTTGATGGAGCCAACAGTAGCCTGCCTGGGTCAGGACCTCCACTGCTCAGCCCTGGCCTCCCCCGAGTTTGGGCTGGCCTGGAACCATGGGGCCTGCTGTGGCCTTTGGACACCACTCCCAAGTGAGTGTCCCAACCCTGAGGCCCCACATCAGTTGCCACAGTCACCCTATTGGTGGTGCTGTTTACATTCTCAGGCCCAGCCAGCCTCTCCAGTTCCTACAGGCTGAGATCCTTGGTCCAGAGTGAAACGTGCTTCAATAGAGGCAGCAGAGGGCGCTGTGGGCCCACAGAGGAGAAGCGCCCGGGTACCTGCCCTGATTGCCAGAAACAGCAGATTTCCTAATGGCCTGAGGAGGGAAGGCTCCTTGCTGCACTGCAGGCTTCCTCCATCAGCTCGAACAACAGACGGTCGGCCCCACTAGGGAATGCCCCTGAAGTTCCCATTCCTGTGCTCCTGGGCCAGACTTGCATGGCTCATTCATTCGTACATGATTTACTCAGTCATTCAAGCATGCATTTGGCAAGCATTGATTAAATACTTGCTGGGTGCTTGGCACTGTGCCAGGCCCTTGTCCTTAGCTCTCTGGAGCTTAAATGTGATTAGGGATTCGGGATATAAGATTATGCCTTCCCCATGTATCTGTGACTCACTCACCAAGTTCCCCAGCATCTAACATTAATGTCTGGTGCTCAAGGGCTTTCAGAGAGCAGTGCGGGTCAGGAGGGGCCAGGGCAGCGAGGGAAGGCTTCCTGACAACTGGACTAAACGACTGCTAGAGGTGGACGGGAACACTCCCCTGATGGAAGCGGAGAGGCCCGAGGAAGCAAGAGGTTAGAGAAGGTCCTTAGAGGTTAGNGAAGCAAGAGGTTAGAGAAGGTCCTTATAGTAGGTTCTCCAGACAGGCTTCCTGGGTCAAGGGGCAGGGTACCAGTAAGCACATGATCCTTCAGCAAATGTGAGGTCTCCCTTTGCCAGGCCCTGGAGGGCATGAACTTGAATAAGAACTTTGCCTGAGGGTCTACAGGCAATGATCAGACAAAGGCAAAATACGCAAATAACTTCACTCCAGGAAAGGAAGTGTTGTGAAAGTAATTGTCCCAGGAAAGAGACTGTTTCCTATTGGGCAGAACAGAGCAGGCTTCCTGGACATACCATTGAACTGAGCCCTGCAGGGTGGGTAGGACTGGATTGGAGGTCAACTGAGTCCAGAGCTCGTGCTACCTGTCACTACCTGCCAACCAAAAAGAGAGAGGGATTGGGTTATAGGTGCATGTTTAATAATATCAGATGTCGGAATCTGGGAAGGTGATGGGCAAAAACTCTAACATTCACCTTCCTTGTAAGCTTGTTAGGAGAAGCTTATAGCGAGGAATCAGAGAAAGGGAACATGGGCAGGAAGTACAGGGGGTTCTGGTCACTTACAGTCCTGGAATTTGAGTCCCTGTGGGGGTCTTGGGTCTTGATGAAGTTCTTCATTACTGGGCCCTGGAACAGGATGGTCAGCATTCTGAAGCCGGCCAAGAGGTGATCGGGTGTGCATCCTTCTGGTGTTTCTGAGACTAATCGATTAGCCTCCACATTCCTGGTGGCCAGGCCTGTTAAGTTTAGGGTTGGGTGAAAAGTCTATTCTTGCCTGGTCAACTGAGAACAACAACAAAATCTTAGCCAGAACATAAGATTAAACATATACAGTTGATTAATCAGTTACGCCTTCTATTAATAAAAGGGTGGGAAAGGAAAAGAGAGGAAGAGAAGAGCAGGAAAAAATAAAAATCGTATTTCTTTTAACGTTTTTGGGAATTCATCTTTTTTAAAAATATGTTTTTATTGACTTCAGAGAGAGGAAGGGAGAGGGACAGAGAGATAGAAACATCAGTGATGAGAGAGAATCATTAATCGGCTGCCTCCTGCATACCCCCTACTGGGGATCGAGCCTGCAACTCGGGATTGTGACCTGACTGGGAATCAGATCGTGACCTACTGGTTCATAGGTTGCTGCTCAACCACTGAGCCACACAAGCCAGGCTAAAAATCATATTTTTATTCTACCCTCGTACCCCTATCAGGACTGCATCTATCATGAGGGAAGGGCACACCCGGGGTGAGAGAACCAAAGACAAAGGCCTAGAGGTCTCAGTGAACACCATGGGCCCCAGGAGAAGGGGCAGGAGGAAAGGCTGAGCAGGCCAGGCAGGGCCATCCTGAGCGCTTTGTGTGCTGTGCTAAGCAGCTCATCTTTGTCTCCTGGGAGATGGGAGCCACAGGAGGTTTGCAGCCTTGCAGCTAGAGGGGCAGGTCTTGCCCAAGAGGCTACATAAAAACAGTTGTCTTGCTATTATAAGCGCTTCGAGGGTGTGGTTCCACGTTGAGAGCAGGATTTAGAAGAGTAATGCTGACAGCCTCTAAAAGCATTTAAGCCCCGAGGATCTCTCCCTTAAACTACAAGGGGGAGGTATAATCTAATCACCCTTAGCCCGGAACAAGGATGTCTGGGCCTAGTCCCTGCTATGTCAGCAACCAGCTATGTGACCTTGCTCTGACACCTCTCTGGGTGTCAGTTTCATCTGCAATACAAAGGGGTTGATCACCCCACCCCAACCCTGGCCCCTGTAAGCCAGATTCACGCCCTGTGCACCTAAAAACTCCACTAGAACCCCTTGCCTTCAGGAAGAGCACTTATCACAGAGCCAGGAAGGGGGAGGCTAGGTCATCCTTGTTGGGCTGCTCACATGGGGGAGGCAGAGTGGGTCAGCTCCCCCAGGAGTCCTCAGCCCACCACAGCCCACCCAGCACCAGCTATCACAGGTGGGAAGGCGCCACCTCAACAAGGGGGGGGGTAAGGCCAAGAGGAGGGAGGGGTGCCAGAGGAGGGGCAGCTTGCTCAGAGGAAGCAGAGGGGTGGGGCAGAGGGGAAGTGAACTACACAAGCAACTTCCTCCCCAACCAGCTCCAGGCCCGGGACTGGGAATTTCACAAAAATACAGAATGATCTATGTGAACATTTCCTGTTCCGCCCCAGCCCCCTTCCTGGCAGCCCAGCTCCTCTGGTTACCACACTGCTCACCTGTGAAGCAATCTAGAGGGCTGAGCAGCCTCTTGGCCATGAGACACCTATAAATGCCGGGCCCACAAGACGCTGTCAAACCCCTCTCTGTGACTCCTCAGCTTAGGTAAGTAAGCTGCCAGCTTCCCTGGGCAGGAGCTTGCCTACCAAGCCTTTCTTTACACCCGCTACCTATCTTGCTTTCAAACCCTCCTCCTGGAAGCCCTCCCTGATTAACCCGCTCACTTTAAAGCTTCCTTCTCATTTCATTAGGCCACATTCTGCTGGAGCCTTCTGCTCTCAAGTGCTCTGCCTTTTGATGTCCTTCAGATATTCTAAAAATGATCTCTCCCATGTCTGGGATAGGACCAGATCCCAGTTCAATGTAAACTGCTTTCTTTTTACCCTGTGTTTTCCCCCTTCATTTCTGTGAGCAGCCAGTAGGAGGTGTCTAGGAAGCACCAGAGCCTTTTTCTTCTAAGCACCTGACCCCTTGCTTCTCCTTAGATCAGAGAACGGGAAGACAGGAGACAGAATGTCGTCTCTGATGGAATGCAGCATTGAGACCATCATCAACATTTTCCACCAGTACTCCACACGCCTGGGCCACCCGGACAGGCTGAACCAGAGAGAATTCAAGCAGATGGTGCAAAAGGAGCTGCCCCACTTCCTCAAGGTAAGGTCGGGCTCCTGGCCAATATGTGCCTGAAAGAAAGTAAGAGGGATGCTGCGGGGCAGTTGGGCTGGGCAGAGGAGAGATGACTAGTTAGGTGGACAAGAAGGGCCCCTCTGAGATGGTGACATCTGAGCTGAGACCTGAATGTGTGAGCTGAGACCTGAATGTTGAGGAGAGAAGCCCCGGAGGAGGCCCGAGGGCACTCTTCTGATCAGAAGGGTCTCCAGTAGGAAACAAAGGGCACGTGGGAAGCCTCGCCCAGCAGTGGCCTGTACACAGCACTCAGGACCGTGTATTTTATTTACTGATCTAAAAAGGATTAGGCAGTTCTAGGAAAAAGGAGGGCCCATTTTGTTTCTTCACACATTTGGAAACTTTGGGCAGCAGAGACCTGGACTAGGAAGGGTGGTGCACCTGGATACCAGTCTCATTTCCACTCCAGGAGCAGATGTCCTGGGCTATGTGGCCAGCCAGCCCTGGAGCTGCCGCCACCTTGGAGGGTTGGAGAGTTGCATCAGTAAAGAGGTTAGGGTTGCTGACTGGTCCCCACAGGTGGGGCCTCAGCAAGCAGGATGCTGGATTGGGGTAGACAGCAGGGGGTAGTGCTGGTGAGACTTCCCCTGTGTGAGGCCGGTGCCTCCCCCATCTCCACCCATAACCCCTCTGCCCAAAGCAGAGCGACAGGCCGGGAGAGGAAGGTAGGACCTTGCCAATGGGCTGCTTACGAGGGGCAGGTCTTCCCCAGGGCGATGACAATAATGCAGAAGCCTAGCAGGAGGGAAGGGCCTGGGAGATGAGCTGGGCACCCTCAGGTCCCAGAGGGGACTTAGCTGAGGTGCCCTGGCCAGCAAGTGGCACAGCTGGACCCCACTGGAGCTCTCTTCTGCCACATCTGGATCCTACCCTCCCCTTACAGTCCCTGCACACTTTACTACACCCTTTGGGGTCAATGGAGCACCCACACTGCTTCCTGTCCCTGCACAAGATCCCAGTCCTCTTGTTACCCTCAAGTGCTTCCTATTACACAGGTTGAAATGAGTGGCACTAATTTGGAACCGGGAGAGGGGAGGGAGGGGCGAAGTGGACAGGAGTGGAGGGGATGGGGCAGGACTGGCTCTGAGCCAGACCTGGGTGGTGTGCGGAATAACTGGAAGGTAAACAGTACCCCGTCCACGGTCATTTTTAAGTTTTGGATTGAGGCCCAGAAGCCAGGCCTGGGCCCCAGTGCCTTTGCCCAGGGCCTTTGGCTGTGCTCCCTGTCCTTGGCCCTGGCCACCTCCGCCCTGACCACCCTTCTTCCCAACCTCCAGAAGGAAAAGAAGAATGAAGCAGCCATAAACGACATCATGGAGGACCTGGACACGAACGGGGACAAGGATCTGAGCTTTGAGGAATTCATCATCCTGGTGGCCAAGCTGACGATCGCCTCCCACGAGGAGATGCACAAGAACACCCCCAAAGGGGAAGGCCACAGCCACGGGCCAGGCTTCGGAACGAGTGGCCCCAACTCCTGCCATACCCAGAGGGGTGGCGGCGGCGGCCACGGCCACGGCCACAGCCACGACGGCCATGGCCATAGCCACAACCACTAATCAGGAGGCCAGGCCACCCTGTTCCTGCCCAACTAGGGCCCCGGGGCCGTGTGCCACACGGCCGAGGCTGGGGCTGAGATGAATAAAGTGTTGCCCCAAGTCAGTGCTCTGTGTGCTTCCTCCGCCCTGGCAACCTGGCCCTCCCAGGGGCCTGGGTTAGATACCTGGGCCCCTTCCCTGGGGCTGAGCCCCTTCATTCATAGCAACGAGATGAGAAGCCCCAATGTTGTCGTTCTGTTCTGAGCCCCTTGTGCTCACTGCCCTGACCATTTTCTCACCTCAGACCTCAGACCCTACTGCTCAGGTCCTAGTCACCCCAGCCCAGCTCAGGACTTCCCTGTCCAAACTGTCAAATTGGCCCTTGTCACCAGAGAAAGCAAAAAAGGGGTACCCCATTCCCTCGACATGCCAGCCACCCCCACCACCCAGCCACAGCCCCTCTTTACCCAATGCTGTCCACACAGCCATCTCCCTTCTAATGGGACCTGGTTCCTCTAGAAGATTCCAGACACACACCAGACAGGCCATGTCTGAGGAGGAAATCTGGAGTTTGGGCATTGGGAACAAGGACGATTGGGTGTGTTTACCCACAAATGAAGTTCTGAATCCACGGGAGCGGTGGTGTCTGTTAAATGAAGGGTCTTTCTCCCTCCCCATGGACAGCGGGGCTGGTGTGCACATGGGTGAAAGTCAGGGAGTCCAACCCATGCCCAGCAGCCCCATGAGGAGGTTGGACTCTCGATCCAGAGAGCCTTTGGGGCCTGAAGATTCTGGTTCTAAGCCTGAGGGTAAACTGACCTCCCTGAAGTCAGTCCCTGGTCAGTACCTGATGGCTCAGGTCAGTAGGGACACTTGCTTCCCTCTGCAAAACCTGTAGCTGGGCCTGGCTCCCAGCTTCTCTCCTCAAGCAGCCTCCAGACCCAGGAGCTCATTTCAGAGACATCTCAGTGACTCCTCTGCCAACTCCCCCAGCTCCATGGCCTTTCCCAGTTTATCACCAGACTAGTGTCGGCCTTCCGAAGACCACAGCCCAAATCACAGTGTCTTCCCTGCCCGGTCCTTCCACAGAGAAGAGACCAACATAATTAGGATTGGAGGGAGCTGGGGAAAGATTGAGCCGTCTTTCCCCCATGTTACCAATGAAGAAAGCAAGGCACAGAGTGGGGAAGGGACCAGTCCCAAGCCTTACATTGAAGGAGTAAGCCAAGACGGTGCAGAGAAGAAAGGGCCTTGAGACCACCTTCTCCATGGCTGCATCTCCCAGCTCCTTCCCCAGGCGCTGGGCATGAAGAAAGGAGCTGCCGGGCCAGACTGCAGGTCTCAGCTCTCCCGCGCTGGCTGCAGCGGGCCATGCTGGCCCCTGCTCTAAGGGCCCAGGGGCCTCTGCCGTGGGTGTAAAGATCTAAGGGTTCCCACTGCAGGGCAGCTGGTGATTCGAGGAACTGCTCCAGGCTGTGAGCTCGTGGAACAGAGTCTGGAAGCCCCCAGGTCCTTCTCTGCCTGACTTGGGGAACTGACAGCTGGAGACACCTTCTGACAGCCTTGTTCAACCACTCTCCTGTTCCCAAAAGGGTCACCCCTTCTGCCTGCATCTTAGTAGGGGAAAGAGAGGCAGTCTGGGAGCTGGGAGGCCTGGTTTCCACCAGTGGCTTTGCCTGGACTCCATGCTTCGGGTAAAGTAGGGGAGGGAAGGGGAGAGTAAGAGAGGAGAGGGGAAGAGAGAAGGGAAAAATGTAGGGTAGAGTAGGGTTAGGGTCAGGGTAAAGTAAGGTAGGGCCGGGTAAGGTAGGGGAGGAGAGGGGAGGGAAGGGTGGGTTAGGGTAGGTTAAGAAAGGGAAGGGGAGGTTAGAGTAGGGGGGTAGGGTAGGGTAAGGTAGGGGACAGGAGAGAAGGGGAAAAGAGAGGAGAGGAAGGGAGGGACAGGAGGGGAGGGGAGGGTGCCGTGAATATGTCTGTGACTCTCTCTCCCACTGGACTGCGAACTCCTTGAGCGCCAAGTTCCTGCCATTGGTCTTACTCTGTTTTATTTCCAGCACCTAGAGTAACGGCTGATACGTAGTAGTTCTCAACAAATACTGACTGTGCAGATGTTCTGTTTTCTCACTTGTTCCATGCTCTCTTCTGGGAAAAGGTGTGGAGAAAGGAGGGTGGGATTGAATTCAGCAGATGGGAGGCTCCTGGGTATCGTGGTGGAAGCTCACACTGACAGGCAGGGGGAAGCAGGTGGTGGAGCCTGAAGCCCCTTCCCAGCTTTATTCAGTCATACCAGCCTTTACCTAGAAGCTTCCATTTGAAGAAAGGGATTTGTCTTGAGAAAAAGCTTGTGAATTGTTGATTTAACCCAGCCTGCCCCACCCCGTGCTGGAGTGTCTCCCCAACAGCTTTAACAAGCGGTTGACAGGGCCCTGCCCGCGCTGCTGCAGGGGAGGGAGCTTCCTCCTTTGGCACTGGCGCTTAGAAGCCTCTCCTCACACCGAGCCAGTACCTGTCTCCTGGTGCCCTCTGAACATTAACGCGAGTTTCTCTCCACATCCACCGACACAGAAAAAAACCTAACCCCTTCCATCCATACAGACACCTGTCCACTTCTTCAAGACACTTCCCTAAACGGCATCGGGCTTTCTCTGGCCTCTGTGCCTTTGCATCAAGAATGTCCTTCCCACCCTGGGGTCTCTGTGACACTGCCCCCATGAAGACTTTCCTGACCACCCGCCTTTCTCCAGCATATAGAGGCTTCCTCTGCCAGGCCCATCGGACTCTCTGAAACCTCTACCCTTGCGCTTCCTGTACCAGCAAGTCTGATGGGGCCCTGAAGGCAAAGACTGGGGCAGGTTCACTGCATGTCCCCAGGTGCCAGCAAGGAGCAAGCTGTCAGCAGCCTTCCAGATGACTGGGTGAAGGTAGAGTAGTCCTAGGCCCTGATGGAGCTGGAGGGTGAGATGGGACAGCTTTGGGCATCAGGGGCATGTCCAGGTACAACCTAAAGGCTGAGAGAGGGTGGAGCAGCAGGATGCAGGGGACAGCTTCTGGAAGCCGAGTTCTCCCTTTGCCCTATTGCTCTGCTAGATCGTTATGAGAGTGGGAGATTGTTCTAGACCCAGGGGGAGGCCTGGCAGTGAGCCACTTTACACAACCCTGGGGAATTCTCTTTAAACATATTTAAGAGAGCTGGTCAAGGTGAGTCAGGCCCTTCCATCCCATCAGCCCCTTCTATTCCAAGAAAAAAACTGGTTCTGCTGAGTAGAGGAGAGCTGGCTTCTTCCCTAAGCTAGGGAACCCAGAGTGTCAAGGTTAAGATTCCCTCCCCCCACCCCCAGGTGAGAATCTGTGACTCCCTCTAGGATTTTTAACGCATCCTTTGGGAAATAAGAACTTTGGGGTTTCCCCGGCATCACAGTTACTGAAGAATAGAGCACCTGTCATCAGAGGCCACCCCTCAGTCCCAGGAGAGGGACCTGCTCTCCTTAGCTGTGGAACTCGTATTCTGGGTGGCTTTCGGGAGGAATAAGGAAGGAGCAGTGGCGGCCTAAGCTGTTGACCTGGCCCAGATGCTGAACAATACTCTCACTGTGCTCCGGGGCCTGGGCGACGCAAGATGCTCCCGGAACTAGGGGGACAGATGGATGACCTCATCACTCGCTTGTTGGCCCACTCATTCACTCAGCTGACACTAATCGTGGACTCACTGTAAGTCAGGCACTCGGAGGGGCCTCGCCTGTCATTCAGGCACTCCCAGGCCTGCAGGCAGACGAGACAGCACCTCCAATGAGTCTGACACGGAAGAGGAAAGGCCAGAGAGATGAAAAGTTCCCTAGGACTTTGAGGGGGCAGGCTGTCCCTTAGCTGGCTGTCACTGTGGAAGGCAAAGATTAGCGTGGCTTCAAGCCTGGCAGCAGTGGGTGTCCCCCTAGAAACATACAGGTGCTTGAGACAGAGGAGAAGGTATGCGCACAGGCCTGAAAGTGGGCAGAGGTGGGCTCTGGGCAGGATTGTGGAGCCCTGGGTTCGAGGGGAGGCGGGAGATAGAGAGGAAAGCAGGGCAGCTGCTAGGCCACAGAGCTCACATTTTCAGCAGAAGAACAGAGGGTGGGAGCAGCAGAGGTTTTATGGAGGGAATGAGGATTTGGGGTGGGAGTGAGACTCTCCCCTGGCACAAGAGGAGGCTGCCACCATCATCCGGGGGGCACTTCTCAGAGAAGACGAATTCAGCCAGGATCTCGAATACCCCAGGCCCCATCTCACCTAGGTGGGCATGCCCTGCAACCCCATAGGATAAAGAAGACAATTCTCTGCTGTTTCCCAAGACTGTTCCTCGGCTGTCAGCTTTCGCCAGCCCGTGAGGCAATCTTACACAACCCTGACTCAAGCCCTGCTCCGAAAGAAGCTCCAGAAGCAACCTCTGTGCCCTGCCCTGCCTCCCAGCAGTTGCTGAAAACTTGGGTTTTAAAAAGCCCATGTCATGGGTTTTGACATGCCAATGACCAAAGTGACAACAGGACTGAAACAACTGGTTGCGCAAGTCCTGTTGCCTCTTGGGGCTCACCCTGAAACAGTCCCTGTACCCCAAGTCTCCTGTCAGCTCCCAGCAGATTGTACCCCAGCCCCCGGCATCACAGACCCCTCCGTCCACGGGAACTGGGGAATGGGGGCTACGGAAGGAAAAGCCGCCGGCCTGCCGAGCACACCCCCCCGTGCCCAGGTAGCCTTACAGCGAGGAAGGGGGTGGGTGCCCAGACCTGAGCCAGGAGTAAAGAGGTGGCGGCAGCAGGCGCAACGGGCACAGGCTTCTGACCCTCGACTCTGGCACCCCGGCCGAGCCAGTTCCCTCCCTCGCCGCTCCATGCCTCCCCCCTGCCCCTCTTGCTTGCCCCTCTTTTGTCTCTCTACCCTCTGACATTCTCTCTGTGAGTCTCTTCCTCGCTGGCCTCCTGGTCTCGGTGGTGAGGTGCAGTCCCAAGTAGCTGGGGTGCTCCCAGGGAGGCAATGCCTTAGAGAAGTAACTCGGGGTCACACCTAACCAGGAGCGACTTCTCCAAAACAAGATGGTTAATAATAGAAGGAAAAATCACAAGGGAAAATGGTCCAAGGGCTGAAGACATTGAACCCAGAAAGGAGAAGCAGGGGGGTCAAGACAACTGCCTTCAAATCTTGCCGAGGTCTGGGCAGAGGGGTCCACTCCACAGCAAGGCCTCCAAACCCATTTGCTGCCCACAGGGTCCTCTCCCACCCCCTCCACCACCACAGGCGTCTCACTTGCATTTTAGTCACCTGTTCACTCCCTCAGGTAGAGAACAGTAACTGTGTTCAACCCCACCAACACCGAGCAGGCATTCACTCACCCGGCACAGTCCCGGAGGAGCTCCTGCCTGCAGCGCGCTGGGCCGACCAACTGCCCCAGCGCTGCTCCCCTGAGCTCACTTCCAGGGGAGAGTCAGACGAGGAATAGAGAATAGGCCAATTCAGATGGCGATGAGTTCCAGCAAGAAAATATGAGTGACATGTTAAAGCTACTGCGACTGCAGGGCTGAGGTGGGGACCCGTAGGAACCTCTCTGGGAGGTAACAATAAAAATGAGATCTGAATGACAAGCACTGGAAAGCTCCTAGAGGGTCTTAATCAGGCAAGTGATTGACAGCTGGAGGAGGTCATTCTGGCTCTGTGGGGAGGAGGGGTGATTGGTTTAATTGACAGCTGGAGGAGGTCATTCTGGCTCTGTGGGGAGGAGGGGTGATTGGTTTAATTGACAGCTGGAGGAGGGGTGATTGGTTTAATTGACAACTGGAGGAGGGCATTCTGGCTCTGTGCGGAGGGGGGATGATTGATATGATTGACAGCTGGAGGAGGTCATCTGGTTCTGTGTGAAGGACGGATGGGGGACCTAGAGTAGGAGCATGGGGACCAGTCAGACGGCTGCTGTGGGACTGACTGAATCTTATCTTTGCATCCTCAAGGAGCCCTCAGTCCCACGGGGGCAACAGAGACCCAAGTAGGTATTTTCAATATTATGTTGGAGACAGAAAAGTGAAGGTGAGTGATGAGCAGACACCCTGGGAGCACAGGGGAGGTGTTGCTTTGATGTCTTCTTGGCTTGAGTGGAGACAGGGGAGATGAGGAAAGGGGGAGGAAAGCTTCCTCAGATTGATGCCGAGGTGAGATTAGAAAGGGCAGAACTTGAACCTCTGCATGCCCAGCGCTGTGTTAGGTAACGAAAGAAATCAGAGACACACAGGAAGTTGGGTTTTTACAGTCTAGTTTGCTTTCTTTCAACTTTGAAGATGTTTATTGGCCACGTTAAAATGCTGTGTCCCAGCTGTTCTTGCTCCAGGGGTTCCAGTAGCCATCCCACTGAATCCTGACTTCCAAAGGCCGATACACAAGCAGGAGTTCCAGAGCTAAAGAAGGGCCAGCAGCCTGGCCCTAGCACAGAGCAGACACTTGACAATGTCTGTTAGTGAAGGGAAGAGAAGACACCTAGATGGACAGAACAACAGGACAAATCTGAGAAGTCTGACAGTTCATGGGGTAGCTGGAGAATGTTCTGGAATGGCTGGAGACCAGGGCTCATGTTGGTTGACAGGAAGTTGACAGTGAGGTGCTTGAGGGATAGGTCCAGTCTCTGTGGTCCTGTGGCTCTAACAATCCTCATGTCCATTGGCTTGTTTTGTGGTACCTGCCATGGTCAGAGGACCAGCTGTGCATTTTCATGGAGGGATTAGCGGTCACCTTGTCCAAGCATTGCACTTTAGAGATGAAAAGACTGAGGTCCAGAGAAGGGAGGTCACTTGCACAAACTCACAGAGCCAAGAAGTAGTTGAGCTTGAAGGCTAATCAAGCACATTTGATTCTAGGTTGAGGGCTTTTTTCATTGCTCTCAGGTGCCTCTGATGATTTTTCACCAAGCTTGGGGGCCCTTAAAATTTTTTTAAATAGGATTTTAAGTACAATTTGTGGTTCACTTGGTTACTTTGAAACAAAATCATGGTTGGTGAATGTTTTCAAAATAGCAAATACACTGCATATTTTTCTTGTCCGTTGGTTGTCTTTTTACCAGATTCTAATACTATATCCCTTCTAGATCCCACTTGGTTTCTCCCCCTTCCCATCGAAGTATCTCAGAACATTAAAACTGGGTGACACCTGAGTGAATTTGAGTTCCTTTAAATTCTTCAAAGGTGAAGAAAGCAGAGACCCAGAGAGGCAACGTGATTTGCCCAAGGTTGCTCAGCAAGTGAGGGCTTTCCCCGAGTGCTCCCCTGTCCTCTCTTGGTGACAGAGGCCTTCCAAGCCTGGGCCAGTCCAAGGTCACCTTCTCTGGGTCCAAATTCCTCTGTCTTCTGCCAATCCCACTTCACCCCCCCATTTTCAGCCTCCCCTCCCTGCCCCATCCCCAGCAAAGGGGTAACCTCCAGGCTCCTGCTGTACTTTCCACACTCCCCTCCTGCCTCAGCGCTGCCTCAGGTCCTAGTCCCAGAGGTGCAGTCCCTCAGGTGTGTGGTCCAGCAACCTCCAGCCCCAGGCCTCAAGGGTTAAGACCAGTCACTTCCTAGCCTCGGGCCTGATTCCCAGCTTCCTTCACATCTCCACAGAGCTTTGCACTGAATAAATGGAAAGACAAACTCACCCCCACCCACAATATTAAGCTCCCCTTCCTCTCACTTTTCCTCAAATATGTCACACCTGGGCTCCAGCAAGTTACCTAATTTTTCTGAAATTTTGTCACAAACTCTGCCTTTCTGGCCTGTGCCTCTAGCTGAAGAGGAGCTGGGGGAGCAGCTGCTGGAGGGTTTGCCAGAGTTCAAGGCTGTGCCTGGCTGCTGTTTGTTTTTTCTTCTTCTTTTTTAAATTAAATTTATTGGGGTAACACTGGCCAATAGGGTCATATAGGTTTCAAGTGTACATCGCTATGATACGTGATCTCTGTGTTGTATTGTGTGCCCACCACCCAAAGTCAAGTCATCTGCCGTCGCCATGTATCTGGACCCCTTTCCTACCTCCCCACCCCCTTCCCTCTGTAACCACCACACTGTTGTCTGTGTCTATGAGTTTCAGTTTTATAACCCACATATGAGTGACATCATATGGTTCTTAGCTTTATCTGACTGACTTATTTTGCTTAATGTAATATTCTCAAGGTCCATCCATGTTAATTTCCTCAAATTATGGCTTCAAATAATATGGCTACAACTATATTTACAATGACAAATGTGGCCCCATGACGTTTCTCTTGGTCAGTTCTACTCTGGGAAACCCCTCCTTAGCTGGTCTCCCTGCTTGTGCCTTGCCTGCTCTGGCTGTCTCTTCTCCACAAGGGCAACCTCTGGAAGCATAAGTGAAATCATCTTGCCCCCTTCCTCAAAAGCCCCCAATGGCTCCTGAGTCCACTAAAAATAAAAGTCCAAAGTGCTCCCATCATCTGTAAGTAGGACCTGCCTCCTGTTCCCTGTAGGCGCACACCTCCTGCCACCCCCATCTCAGCTCCTGCACGTTGCCTTCTGTGCTGCCCTTAGAGCAAGTCAAGGAGGTGTCCCTCGGGTGCCCTAGCTTCTCTGTGCCAGGAACTCTTAGACCCCAGGTATCTGCACACTGCTCTCCTTCCTGTCTTTCAGGTTTCTGCTCACGTGCATTCTTAATCAACCTCTCTAAATGAGCACCCTCCCTCCCCCAGCCCTGCTTCCCTACTTTAGCTTTCTTCATATCACCTATTATTACCTACTGGTGTGCCATAAGATATATTTCTATTTGTTTGTCTATTTTCTATCCCCTCCCCAATAGAATGCAAGCCCCAAGAGGACATAAACTTTGTGTCTTTGGTCTGTGGCTATCATAGATGGTCGGTGAATATTTGTGGAATGAATGAATAAATGCATAAGTAATAAACATTTAATAAATAGGTGGTAAACAAATGAACAAAGAGAGAACAAGGTCTCAGGGGCCCAAAGGAGGCCTGTCAGAATAGCAGGGGGCAGTTGTGATCAAGTTTGGAAACCACAGGCATGGAAAGAAAAGAAGCACACACACACTTTTAAGAACTTTTCAAGATACATTTATTAACTTTCACTTCCTTCAGTTCTTCTTGCAGACATTGCTGGAGAAAAGCCACTCAGAGCTTCCTACTCTTTGTGGATATTCTCATGGGCAGTCAACAGCACCCTGGACACCAGGACTATGAACTCATTAAAGTTGACCTGTCCGTCTCCATTAGCATCCAGATCTTGGAATATTTTGTCAATGGTGGCTTGATCTTTGGTATTCTAGGAGAAAGGGACAGCAGACACAGTGAGCTCAGGCTTCCCTCCCTCTTTCTTATCCCCCAGAGCTTAGCCTAGGGAGTCCCAAGAACATTAATTCATTGGCCAAAACTGTGTTGGAGAATCTAGCATGACAAAACAGAAGATGGAGAGAAGCCACTGTCATAAGCCATCCTAGAAGCACAGAAGTCTTGACCTGGGAGGTTCTCTGTAGTTCACTAACCCACCCCCTTTCCCCACACTGCCTTTCTCCACTTCAGCAATGTGGAAACAAGTCCAGAGAGAGAAAGACAGTACAGCCTGAGGTAACAGAGGAAGTCAACCAAGAGACAGAGATAGGCCCTTTTCCCACAGCAGGGGGAGAACTTCCTTGGGTGCTGAAATTGGGGCTGAAGCCACCCAAGTCCTTGCTCCTCCATCAACCTTCAGTCCTTGCCACTGCCCTCAACACAGGAGGCTAGGCAAGTTCACCTTGACAGGGGTGTCACCTACCTTGATGGTGTTGACAAGTTCCTTTGAGATCAGCTGCTTCAGCTCACGCTTGGTGAGGGTGTCAAAATCCCCCAAGCGAGCTGAGTACTGGTGGTAGACATTGATGATTCCCTCCAGATGGTCTTCCAGCTTAGTCATCTTCTCAACCTCACGTTCACCTTTGGGAGACAAGGCAGGTCTCAGACAGTTCCTCCCCACCCCCCATATCCCCTCTCTCCTCTCTTTTTGCGTCCAACATTTAAACACCTGATGACCTCCCCTGCATAGGCTTCGTGTTCTCTCTGCTCTTCATTTGTGGATTGGAGGCAATGTTAACACCATCTAACGTTGAAAAGAATGAACCTCAGCTGCCTGAGGCAGTGTTCCATGTCCCCACATCTCCTGGAGAGTATAATCAGAGAGTATCCCTCGCTCAAGCTCAGCTGGGAAGGGTTCTGTGTTTCTCCAGGCTGTTCCTTCTCCCCAAGTGAAAGACCACACAGGTCCCTTACAGACATTCACCAGCCCACCCACCTTTGCCATCCCTAAGTCCTCAGGCTGGGTCTACCTAGCATAGCAAGAGCTCTTCTCCTTGGGTCCAAAATGCAATCAGCCCTTCACTTCATAAGGTATATAATTGTCTTATCTCTATGTTGTGCACCTGAAACTAATATTGTATGTTAACTGTAATTGAAAAATAAAATTTATATTTAAAATTAAAAAAAAAATGCAGTCAGCCCAGAGGAGCTCCAGCAAGTGGGGCATTGTAGTTTCCAATAGCCTGCAGCGTGGCCACCTGCAATCACTACTCTAAGGACCCCCGAGGGCCCAGTCAAGGAAACGACACTTACCCTCAATGCAGAGGAGTGTGGAGCTCTAGCAAGAAGTCAGCACTGGTGAGGAGCACTGAGCAAGGAAGGTTTTTATAAGGCACTCAGGCCTCACCTTTGACCTTGAGTGAGGAAACTTCTCTGATTCACTCACCTTGAGGCAACTGCTGGTACACATGCTGTTGCTCAATAGAAGCTTCAAACTTGTGGCTTTGACTGCAACAAAAGAAGGTCAAGTTGCACCCATTGCACCCTCTGCTCAACCTGAAACAGAAGCCCCAACCCCACCCCACCCACACACAGAAGCCCCGCACATTTCTCAGCTCTAGTTCAGTCCTCCACTTCCTCCTAAAAGGCGAGGGGAGCAAGTTCCACTGCCAGGATGGCTCCTACCTGGAAAGGAAGGTTTGGGAGAGGCACTGGCTGAGTGTCGATTACCCAAAATAATGCTGATGATAAAAACAAAGTGAACGTGCAATCTTGAAACAGAAGAGGAGCGCTGGTTTAAAACTAAGGAAATCTGAAAAAAGCATAGAATTAAGTTTGTAATGATTATCAAGAGGGGCTCATTCATTGTGACAAATGTACCAGACAAATGTGAACAGGGGGGCTGCTTATACTATCTTCTTAGTTTTGCCTAAATCTAAAACTCTTCTAAAAACAAAGTCTCTGTGTTGTTGGAAGTGAGCATGTACTGAGCACTTAGGACATGCCAGACACTGCTCGATAGAACCTTCACTTACTTCCGCAGCCAGCTCTGTGGGGCGCGTGCCCACCGTATGCCCATTCTGCAGGTGAAGATGAGTGTGCAGAGGTCAAGTCACTTTTTTAAGTACCAAACCCTGATTTGTCTGTTTTCAAAACCTTTGCCACTGTTGTCATTCTCCCCTTAAAATAAGAATAGTTCTTTAGTTATTTTAAAAGAAAAAAATACATGCTCATGATTTTTGTAAAAAACATAATTTTGGGTAGATGCAGATGCTCTTATCAGGCCCGATTTTTTTCTTCCAGATTTTTTCTCCAATGCAGTCAATTCTTGATTAGACTTAAAAAAATTATTTCCTTGCCATACTCCCACCCCAAGTGAAAAGTCCTGTGCTAGGCTCAGGGACAGAGAAGCACAAATTCCATGGCTGCACTCTTGGAATTTTGTTTCAGACATCTTCCTAAATTATAACACGGAGAATTGACCTCCGAGGATCCAGGTGAGGAGTACTGAGTGGGGGTCAGGCCAAGACCAGCAACCCCAAACCCACACTAGGATAGAGGCTTATACAGGCTGCTTTGCAGGCCACAGAGGGGGTGGGGGTGAGTTCTGACAAGCCCAGAAGACCAACTTAATGACTGTCTTTTGTGTCTCTGGGGAGGAGAGAGGTACAGGAGGGAGTCCTCTCCCTAAGTCGTTCTGGGATGCAAAGCCAGTCACTGGATAGATTTTCAAGAAGGACCCCAGGGCTCTCAGGAAGTGAGACACCAATCCCTCTGTGCCTTCCCCCACTTTCCCACCACAATCCCCGAACTTGGCAGTGAGAAAGAGCTGCCAATGTGGACAAAAATGATCACCACCAAAGGGCCAAGGTCGGAGAGGTTATCAAGGCCTCTGAAATAAACATATTTTAAGTCTAGCCTGGGGACCAGGCTTCAATACCACAGGCCTGCATGCAATACCACAGACTTCCCTGCATGCTTCATTAGCACAGTTGCCATGGCAAAGGGGACTATAAGAAGTGGAGTTCCAGGGCCCCAGGACCCCAGGGCCCCACACAGGGTACCATGGAGGCCTAGACATGGACTCAGACCCCCGTGCAGTGCGTCCCTGCAGCAGTGGGCTAGGTTTGTCCCTAAAACTGCACCTCCAGGCTTCAGTGGCCACACTGTCCAGCCATGAGATGCAACAGCTCTAGAGGGACAAGTGAGCCCCCGGCTGCCTGCCCCTTCGGCATATAGAAGTGGAACAGTTCCCAGCAGTGCCGTAAGGAAGCCCCGGGGGTGTTAGAACATTCAGGGATGGGGAGGCCCCAAGAGGAGGAACTGGGCAGATGGGAGCATGAGCAGCCGATGGGGAAAATAAGATCCGAGTAATGGGTTTCATCCTGTCACAGTCAGTCTGGAATCCAATCCAGCTTACTCAGCACCACGGCCTGCTCCGTTCCCCTAGAGCTAATGTTGAACAAATGTTGACTGCTGTTGAGCAAGGCCGTAATCCTATTAGGAAACCAGGTGTGGCAGAGACTGTCCAAATCACTGCTTCCTTCCTTTTTTCCCTCTCAGGAGAAAACAACTCCTTTTACAGCTTTATTCATGTATAATAAACATACATAAAAAACTACACATACTTAACGCGTAGGATTTGATGAGTTTGGACATCTGTGTGTACCCGTGATACCATCACCACAATAAACAGAGGTCTCACCTCCCAAAGCTACTCCAAGTCCCTTTGTTTCTATTGTTTGTGGTAAGAACACTTAGTATGACATCCACCCTTTTACCAAATGTTTACGTGCACACACCCATATTGTTAAGTGAACCGTGCTGACCAGTAGGTCTCTAGAATGTCTTCATCTTGTACAACTGGAGCTTTGCACCCACTGAACCATGAGAGTCACCACTTCACCAGTCAGAGGGACCAGTCAGAGGAAAGAGGCTGCTTGAAGAGCTCCTGCAGATGCTTACTTTTTATGTGTTTTTTCCCTCCCTTTACTATTACATTCCGTATCTTTTAAAAAATAATGTGTTCTTATTGATTTTAGAGAGAGAGGAAGGGAGAGGAAGAGAGAGAAACATGGGTGTGAGAGAGAAACATCAATCTGGTGCCTTCTACACACCCCTACTGGGGATCAAGCCCCAAACCCAGGCATGTGCCCTAACTGGAAATCGAACCGTTGACCTTTCGGTGCACGGGATGCTCAGCCAACTGAGCCACACCAACCAGGGCATATCCCATATATTTTTTGCGACATACACCGACTATATGTAGCATATCAGTTCATTGTAAGATGAAATAAAACAGCAAACACCTGTGAATGTACAGGATGTGTTTAGTCCCTAGACAGGCACCAGGTGATTGACAAAACACTCAGGGAGCAAAGAAGGAAAATAAAGAAGTTTTTGTTTGCTGAAAAATTCAGTTCTTTGAGAGCCCCTAGACAAGCTAGCCGAGTAGTCAGGAGCGCTCCAGGAAAGGTTGTTTTAGCATCTCTGCCTCATACCCTGAGTTTCTAAACACACTGACCCTCTTCCCAGAAAAGGGGGCTCTGACCCACAGTGCCTGGGTCCGAGGGTGTGGGAATGAGGTCACCCTGTGGCTCTGAGCCAACCTCCAGGGCAGGTAGCGGGGCCAGTGAGGTGCCGGGGGACAGTACGGTTGACAGGAGTTGACATTACGGCCTCAGGAGCAGGCATTCCCGGGAGGACCAGGACTTGGCTGAGAACTGTAGGTGGCAGACATCGGAGAAAGGAGGGGTGAGGAGGTCAGGAGACACCCCTCGAGATCCTCGTGGGCTTCGTGGAGGGAAAGCTCCATGGCCGTGGTGAGGACAGAGGCCACACAGCGTGCTAGAGCTAGGGAGAGTTATGTGGCCCCAGGGGCATTCCCTGGAAACTTGGGAAGACGTCAGTGCTGCTAGACCCTGTGCCCCGGGAGCCACGGGAGAGCGAGCCGGAGCCGACGGCGCGGGCACTTGGCCCGGCCCACTCACGGCAGGGCCGCTCTTCCAGGAGGGCTTGGTGCTGAGGCTTCGGATTCATTGGCGTCACTGAGGATAGTTCCAGAAGGGAAGGAAAAGGCTCTTGTCTACAGCAGGAGGGAAAGGAGAGACACACACACACCTCATCGGAGAAAATGGCTGAGGGCCCTGTACAGGCCTCGGCACCTGGCTGGGACTGCGAGTCCCTTCGGAACATCAATCCAATCCAGAACTTCTGAAGCTCCGAAGGTCTGGGGAGGGATGCCTCTAAGACAAGCTCCAAGGACCTCAAAAAAATTAAAATGGCCATCCTTTCACTTTACCTGTGGAGCAGGGGGTCATTTCCTGGGGACCTGAGCCCATTCTGTGGACCTGGCTTTATTGTTACACAGACTGAGGCTAATGTGCACAGGAGAGGACACTGTGCAGCTCCCCAGCTCCCAAAGATGCAGCTTAGTTAACGCAAGGGCCTCCTCCTGCTCCCAACACTGGGGGAAGGTGATAAAAACTCAGCTGGGAGGAGAGAGACGGCCAAACACCTCTCCATGGCCACCCAAAAAGAAGTGGGTGGAGGTCTCTGCTCCCCCAGCCAGCATCCCACTGCAGGGCACAAGGAGAGGAAAAGAGAGGGTATCCTCAGTGGGGAGCAAGGGCCACCCCTTCCCAACCTGCGGGAGCCCCAGAACTGGGAAAGCCCATGACCCTGCTAATGAGAAAGGTGTGGGCGAAGATTTGGTCTGGGGATCAGTCCACACTGTGTCCAAATCCAAATGACCACTCTACTGGCTTATAGCTTAAAATAGGCGCTGTTCACCACCAGGGAGGCTAGGCCCACCCGAGATTCCAGCAGATCGAGTGGGACCTCAGCCACTTGCTGGGCTTTGTGTATTAAAGTGAGCAATTCTCACCCTGAAGGAGATCTAGTCTTTACTCAGGTCCCCCTGCGGGACTCCTGGGGTGCCCCAGGAAACTCCCTCCTCACAGTGAAATGCTTTCCAGTAAGGCACACAGTTCCTTGCCCTCGCAGAATGGATTTTGCAAAGCGTTGACTATCTTCTTAAAAGTATAACACTTCCAATGGGTGAATTGGGGTGGTATGTGAACTATATATCTCAGTAAAACTATTTTTTGTTTGTTTTGTTTGTTTTTTGTTATTCCTCGCCCAAGGATATTTCTTCCATTGATTTTGAGGCCTGGAGGGTTTATAACAGAGACCCCCTACTGACCAGCTGGGAATGATTTTCTTGGTGAGAGAGCTGCCCTATGTTTTCAGAACAGCAAGGCCGAGAGCTAGGGTGAAGCAGTTCTGTTTTGCTCTGTTGGGCAATGGTACTGAGAGGCCTGTTCCCTGACCCCCGCGTGTAGTTAGTCAGCA